ACGTCATTAAAATTGAAGGACCTATCAGACAAAATTAATATTTTTTAAGGTCAACTTCTTAGCTCTAGAGTATATATTGTATTTTAATAATTAATTTAATTTAATGAAAAAAAAAAAAAAACAAGAATGGTGAGGTGTTTTATTTGACTTTAATGTTAGAATATAAAATAATATAATTATTTAGATTTTATCAAAATCTAATAATACACCTTTTCAACCCATTGAATATGACTCTCTTTTATTTTATTTTATGCTAATTTACTTTTCCCTTTTTAATTTGTTTTATATAATTATTAAATGGATGAAAGTGACTATTTATATTTCTAGAAAATTATTATTATTATTATTATTATAAATATATATTTTAAGAAATATCTATTAAGCTATAAGAAAATAATATAATTTGCATAAAATATTTTCTTTTAAAAAATAAATGAATTATTGCATTTTATTCCTACAAATAAATAAATAATAATATTAAAGACTAAAATAGTTTTTTAATACAATTTTTATTTATTAAAACTCCAATTATTCCTCTAATTATCATTGCAATAATATTTTTTTTTTGTCTTTTTTTAGAGGGTAATTTTGGCATTTAGCAATATCAATGAATTTGCTTTGTACCAAATTCATGTTTCTAAAATATTTGTTTAAATTTTATTTTTAATATTCTAAAACAAAAACAATTATTTTTAATAAAATGATATATAAACATATACGGTGAAAATGTTAATTTATATGTTACATTTTATTGTAATTTAATGGAGTATTTAAATATTTTACATTTAAATCGACGAATTTATTAATTTTTTTTAATTTCATTTTGATATCCGTACTTTTAAATTTATTCTATTTTAATGATGTATTTTAAAAAAAAATTCATAATTTATTTATTATAATATTTGCATATGGTAAAAATTAATTTAATTCTTACATAATTGATTAATATTAAAAAGAAAATTGGGAGAAGAATTATGTATGTCGGCAAGCTTTAATATAATCCACGTGTTTATATATTTCAGATTGCTCCTCATTTTTCTTATTATTACAATAATACCCCTTAAAAGTTGACCCATGACAGGTAGGAGAGAGAAAGAAAGTGACGTGGATTTTTCTCGTCTCAATAGCCAAATAATTCGTTTGTTAATTGAATTAGATTAAAAAAAAAAAAACATCTTATTATAAATGTCCATTTAATACATGGCGTTTAAGTTACACGTGGACTCTCTTCAAATGGGTTTGGAAATCCGTGTTTGAACGGGAGAGAGAAGTATTATATAAAATCTGAATAAATAAATTGGAAATTCAAACTAATTAAAATAAATATTTATTTCACATTCAAATTAAGTCAACATTATTGAACCAAAAATAATCTTAAATATTGAATATTACTATATCTTTACTGTTCAAAACAAATATTTACGCAAACAATTAAATAAATAGAAACAAAAAGACATATATATCCTCATAGAAGGTGGGCCCATAATCATGGGCCGGACACATGGGCGAATAAATTGGGCCGTAGCCCACTGAAACACAAGTGAAGTGAATCAAGTTAGCCCAATTGTCATCCATCCTTCTCTTTTGATTAAATGACTTGTTCATGTCTTTTGAGAGATGTTCATGGGACGAGACGGGAAGGGGAGTCATTCTCCATCCCCATCTCCGTCACCTATTTCATTTTCCATATCTTCGAAATGTTTCGTACGAGAATTGGGACGGAGATTCTAGAATCTCCTAGAGATTTTACTAACATAAATCCTAAAACTTGTTTTTAGAACTCAATTAAAAAGAAGGAAAAAACCCATTTAATATAATTGTTTTTAGAAATAAATAGTTTTCTAAAAAAAATTATATTTATAGAATGTGGTATGTATACATGACACGTGGCACCATGAAATTATGAATTAAAACTTTTTAAAATATCAACTAATGACAGAATTACACGTGGCACATACGCTCTCCAATAGAACCCTAAAACATTGGAAGAAAGAAATGGCAAGTCTGTAAATAAGAGACAATCCAATGGCATTTAGTTATTCTTTCACGTCTTAAAACCTCTTTTTTCCATTTATGTGGAACCGTTAAAGTTCTCTGTTTTCTTCTTCTTCTTCTTCTATTTTCCTTTTTTTTCGTCTAAAACCCCAAACTTCGCCGCCGCCATGTCCGTCCTCAGCCGCCTTAGCGCGGTGGCGCGGCCGATCCGCTGCTTCCGTGAGTCTCCGATCGCGAGAAGAGCGTATGGATCTGCGGCGGCACTGGAGGTGGATTACGATTACTATGAGGACGACGAGGAATTCGAGAGAGTGAGTGGGGATCGGAGCCAGGGCAGGGCGATGGCGGAATCTCGAGGGTGGATGCCGAGAAGAGGAGTGCAGTGGGTGGTTTTAGGAGACCCTGGGTCGAAGAAGCATGTTTATGCAGAGAGGCTCTCGAAGCTTCTCGATGTTCCTCATATTTCCATGGGGAGTCTTGTTCGTCAGGAGCTCAATCCTCGGTCTTCTATCTACCAGCAGGTTCTTGTTCTTCTTTCTAATTTCTATATGTAAAGTTTCACTTGAAGTAGATATTTAGCAGGTGAAATTTGGCGGTGGAATGCATGTACTTTCTGCATTTTGACATCTTTCTAATTTCTAGATTTCTAATTTGTATTATAAAATGACTGTTAAGAATCTTGTTTCTGCGTAATTGATGATAAACCAGGAATATTGTGAAACATTTTGAAATAAATTTGTGTAATTTCTACTTCTTGCTGGTTTGTATAATGAGATAGTCTCAATTGTTCTGTTCCCTTTCCTCCATTTCAGATTGCTAGTTCAATCAATGAAGGAAAGCCTGTTTTGGAAGAAATCATTTTCAGACTGTTGTCGAAGAGGCTAGAAGAAGGGTATTGCAATGGCGAATCGGGCTTCATTCTTGAAGGAATTCCAAGAACAAGGAATCAAGCAGTATGGCTCTCTTCCCAAGAATAGATTTGACATTTCTTCTCCATTTTCAATGATATGCCTAAAACTCTTTTTCGTGGTTCTTCAATGGCATTATTAAATGTTTTGCTTTTGAATGGGTGGATCATTTTTGCAGGAGATTCTTGACCAAACTGCAGATATTGATTTGGTCATTAATTTCAAAACCACTGAAGAGCCTTTGATTAGAAAGAATCTGGGTTCTGGAAACTTTTCTGGCTTTCATGAATATAGCACCATATGCAGCTCTGGGAGCAGTCAAAATCTCCAGCCCCTGGACAAAGAGCCGAAATGCCTTTCTGCTACTACAGAATATTCCTGGAAAGAAATGACATCTATGGAGCAGGTAACATTCAATTTTTAAGTAGGCATTCCAATAGTTTATATTCAATAGTAAGCCTTGCAATTTAGCTACGAGATCCCCCATCGGATGGGGAGGAGAACGAAACATTCCTTATAAGTGTGTGGGAACCTCTCCTTACCATACACGTTTTAGAAACCTTGAGGAGAAGTCTGAAAGGGAAACTCAAAGAGGACAATATCTACTACAAGTGGTTGGCCGTTGCATTATGTGTTTACTTATATATACGAAAATTCTTAGGAATATTCAGATTGACAAACAAAAAGAAAAGAAAAAAGAACATGTGGTGATGAGGCACACATATTGTTGCATCGAGGCTAAGAAATGTGCTTAGTGTCATGGTCATGCTTGTTAAAAAAATGCGATTGTGACCACCTAGCACGCTGTGTTTGGAGAAATCTTTTCAAAGTCATATATGTGAAAAATTGAAACCCCATTTGATAACCATTGATAACCATTTCTGTTCTTTATTTTTTGTTTTTCTGTATCCTGTTTAAGCTTCCAAGTAAAAAAATCGAAGAACTTGGGAGTATTTGTTGTCTGAAACTAGTTTGGAAGTAAGAAAAACCTTCTGAAAGATTGAAATTTGAATTTGATATGATTTCAGAGGAAGCCATTGGAAGAGTACTACAGAGGACAGAGGAAACTTGTGGACTTCCAAGTAACAGGAGGGCCCGGAGAAACATGGAAAGGGTTATTAGAAGCATTACATCTTCAGCATATTAATGCTGTAAGTTCTACTCAGAAGCTAACCACATGATTTAGCTTCAAGTTTTGGTTCATCCTTTTTAACCATTGCGGCGTAGTAGTAAATATGAATGTGAGAGTGAATTGACATAATAACATCATCATGCTGGAGTTTTCCTCCACCAAATATATTGAGTTTTGATTTTGTTTGTTTGTGAGTTTTGTAATGTAGAAGTCAGTCAGTGAAGTTATAAGGGAAGTTTTGACAAAAATGTCAGTAATGTTATGGCCTGATTATATAAATGTAATCCGACCTTCAAATGCCTACTTTTGTTCTTTTTAACGTCATAAAAGGACTTACTGACTCAGATATTTGTCATTGTCAACTAAAGTACCGTGCAGTCTATGGGCTCTCATAGTAATAACCTTTTATATATTTGACCTTCTTCGACGTAGACCATCCGAGGACCGGTACTTGCTTGTCCAAAATGAAACCACCGGAGATACTCATTAAAATCTAACTCAGATAGCTATCACTATCAACTTAAGTATTGTGCAATATGCGGGTTCGATTAGATGATTTAGTATATATATTTATTTATTTGAGGCACTTACAATATACTAGAGAATTTAAAATTTGATGACAAATCTATATCCAATTTAAAAAAAAATTATTAAAACAAATTCAAATTTATTTACAAGCACATTAGTAAAATTAATTATTTTAAACAATAACAAAAATTATTTTACAAAATCTTAATAAATAAAAAAAATACTTTAAATTTTGAATTAATTTAAAAATTATTTTTGAAGAATCTATATTTAAAGGTTCCAAAAGTATTAGTAGAAAAAATGATTTTATTTAAAAAAGTATTTAAAAAAATTATTTTATTCTCTCCAAAATATATATTTAAATATTAAAATTAGTCTGAAATATATTTTAAATAATTTATGCAACTGGCTACATGCTCAGTGGCCCAAACCCAAGTCCAAGCTCGCATTCAGATTCGGACAGAAAGCCCATTCTTCGTCGTCGTCGTTGTCATCTTGCCTTCTCCCTCCCCTTCCCTTCCGATTGGGACCGCGCCAGAACCTTAATACTGTCTTGTCGGCGGCGATGGCTGCTTTCCATGTGTAAGGAACAGACCCATATCTTTCTTCAACCTCAAACTTTCAAGCATCAATCATGTGGCACTGCTTCCGCTACAACAAATTCTTTCCAACTTCACTCCATAGCCCAATTTCCAATCTTTCTCTTCGTTTCATCTTCTCCGTTGATTCTTCTGTTCAATCCTACACCGTCACGCCGCCGATCAAGCCCTGGCCGCAGCGTCTCTATCCCAAGCGCCTCGTCGCTATGGTCATTCGCCAACAGAATCTCGACCTCGCCCTTCAAATCTTCCACTACGCCGGCAAATTTCATCCCGGATTTTCCCATAATTACGATACTTATCATGCGATCATTCATCGTCTCTCTCGCGCTCGAGCTTTTGAACCTGTCGAGTCTTTGCTCGGGGAATTGAAGAATTCTGGTATCAATTGCGGTGAGGATTTGTTCATTTCTGTGATTAGAAACTATGGGCTGGCGAGCCGGCCGAAAATGGCTGTGAAGACATTTCTACGTATTCAAACCTTCGGTGTTCGACGCTCGGTGAGGTCGTTGAATACGTTGCTCAATGCTTTGGTGCAGAACAAACGGTTTTCTTTGGTACATTTGTTGTTTAAGCATTCGAGATCCAAATTTGGGGTCGTTTCTAATGTGTTTACTTGTAATATTTTGATCAAAGCGCTTTGTGAAAAGAATGATGTCGAGGGTGCACGGAAGGTGTTTGACGAAATGCCTGCCATGGGTATGGTTCCAAATGTGGTTACTTATACTACAATCTTAGGTGGTTATGTTGCAAGAGGCGATATGGTTAGTGCCAAGAGAGTTTTTGGTGAGCTTTTTGATCATGGTTGGCTTCCTGATGCGACTACTTATACAATTTTAATGAATGGGTACATCAAGCTAGGTAGATTCACTGAAGCTGTAAAGGTGATGGATGAAATGGAAGAAAATGGGGTTGAGCCAAATGATATTACTTATGGAGTCATTATTGAAGCTTATTGTAGGGAGAAGAAGTCTGGCGAAGCACTTAACCTGCTTAATGATATGCTTGAAAAGAAGTATGTACCAAGCTCAGCACTTTGCTGTAAGGTGATCGATGTTTTGTGCGACGAGGGGAGGGTAAAGGAAGGTTGTAAGCTGTGGGAGAAGCTTTTGAATAAGAACTGTACTCCGGATAATGCTATTACAAGTACCCTTATTCATTGGCTTTGTAAGGAGGGGAATATATGGGAAGCAAGAAACTTATTTAACGAGTTTGAGAGGGGATCGATTCCAAGTTTATTAACTTATAACACGCTTATTGCAGGGATGTGTGAGATGGGGGAGTTGTGTGAAGCCGCTAGGTTGTGGGATGACATGTTGGAAAAGGGTTGTATGCCTAGTGAATTTACTTATAATATGCTGATAAAAGGATTTCTTAAAGTTGGTAAAGCTGAGGAAGTGATTAAAGTAGCGGAGGAGATGTTGGATAAGGGATGCTTGCCAAATGAATCAACTTACTCAATTTTGGCTGAAGGGCTCCTCAAATTGGGAAAAGGAGGAGAATTCTTGAATATTCTTTCGATGTTCGTCTCGAGCGGAGTTGTAGACGTTAAAGGCTGGCATCTATTCGTACCCAAGTTTGTTTGCAATATGGACGAACAAGCAAATATGCTCGAGAAAATATTGATTGAAACTTGAGAGTTCTGGGTATAAATTCTTCACATATTTACAAATCTACTGTACTGTACGTTGAAATACTGCTAATCCTTTCTAGTAAAGGCAGTCGTTTGCTTGCTCCAGATTGCTTGGTGTCTCATCTCTGGTGAACAGGGCGCCAGAGTGCTATTGAGGTATACCCTTTAGAATATTTTACCTGCACGATTGTACATACATATGTCGAACTTGAGACTGTTCTACCGATGTGCCGATCTGCCATTGGGGGTCTCTTCAAGGTACTTCCAAAGGAATATAAGTTGTGCTTGTGTTTTTATAAGATACTCTGACATATTCGATGTGTAAGATATTATCTATGAAATAGCGTTACTCATTGTAAATTTAGGTCCCTGCTCACTGCTATGCTATGAATTAGGTAGGTCTTTAAGTTGGATGACCTCTCTTTAAGTACCTCCATTGCCATGAGGTCAGGGAAAGTACCTCTAACCTGTCTTCGATTTTGACCAGCTCGACAAATTCTCGAGGCCGACCTCTTGTACAATGTCGAAGGGCGAGACTGAGGTCTCTCTGGCCCAGTCTTCCTCCCTCTTCCACGGGTACTAGAAGCATGCGGGTTGAGTTCAGAAACCTCCATTGGGCAATGTTTAGTGTGGCAGACTTACTTGGCTGATTTGGAGTCAATTTGCACCTGATTGAACTAGTTTTTATTCAGTGATCAAGACCAAGTCCGAGCGTCAACCTTGGAGCTGTGTTCAACTTGATTGTGAGGCAGCTCTTGTAGGTACAGTTCTTTCCTTTTATCTCAATAGCCCAACTGTTATTTGAATGAATGGTAGCTCTTTCATGATGTTTAATAGTAAACTCTTCAATTTGTTGTTGTTGATCCTGCTGTTCCTATGTCTTCTTCAACAGGATGGAACAATGTGCGAGAGTGCATATGAAAGCTTTGGCATCAACGAGAATCCACGGCCACCTAGCTACTCAGTTGCAGTGCAACCAGGAAAGGCATAGGCCAAGACACCCGAATGAGTGAATTGTTGAAGGTGCAGTGAGTTTCTTCTAAATCTCTGACAAGGAAAAATGTCATAGTGAAGATGAACAATGATTTGACATGGATTAAAAAATCTGCCTCTTTTCTAATAATTACTTTTTCCAAATAATTTTCTAAGGCATAAGAGTTGCATTGGTCTCAACCATACTAGTAACTCTTAGATACTTTTGAATGTTGAATTTGTTTGTGTGGATTGGTTTATCAAGTTTAATATTTGTTCTTGCATGTATGTATATATATATATATATTTTGTAGAGATAGGGATAGTGACAGAGACGATGACTCAATATATTTTTTTATAAGCTTTTTAATGGAAAAATACTTTAATTAATTTAATAATATTTCATAAACAATAAAAATAATATTCTTTTTATAAGATGGACATAGACAAAAGCAATATTTTATTCGTTTGTTATCTCTAAAAAAGAATAATAGTGTAATGTGAAAAGAATACATATATAGAAATATATTATCATCTTTTTTATATTTTGGATGTTATCAGACAAATTCACGTAGCCCAATCGACAAGGAAATCGTGCTCGAACTCCAGTTAACCTAGGTAATGCCATGACACTTGCATACTAGGTACAAGCTCGGCCACACGATCGTTACGAGTGTACGAACTCTGCCCATACATGATTTGTTAACCACGAACTACAAACAGTAAAAATAACTCACAATCCAAGTCAGTTCACTTTCCTATACAATAACCTGAGACTATTCTTACCTATTAAGATGTATCACCTTAACCAGCTCCCTTTATAAACCAACTTAAACCAAGTCCTATGATCTCCAACGACAACATAAGTTGTCTGTTGCTGTGGCCTGTCTCCATTTCCCTCCAACTCTTCTGCCATCACTTTCTTTTCCTAACATTTTGACACAATTCCAATTCCAAAAATCCCACAAAAATTTCGAGATTGTGAAAGCCAAGCAAATATGAAGCCGTCAACTTCTCTTCTTCCCCGATCATCCATCCACCTCAAACCCTAACAATCGCCTATTCTCAACCCCTCTAATGGAGCTCTGTCCTTTACTCGACACCTCTCTTCCTTCCTCCCACCGCCCTCTTCTCCGCTCCAAACCTTCCATTTCTGCGCGGCGAATTTCTGGTTTTTCGAATTCTTTACGGCCAACTCGTCGCCGGAATGCTTATTCTGCTTCAAGCTTCGATACCCTTGTTGCCAGGTCGCGTAAGGAGGAAGAGGATGAATTTGGAGATTTGAAGGCTTGGATGCACAAAAATGGGCTTCCTCCTTGCAAGGTTGTTCTTGAGGAGAAGGCTTGGCATGATAAGAATCATTGGCCTATACATTATGTGGCTGCCAGTGAAGATCTTGAGGTGATTTTGTTTATGGGTTTTTGTTTTGAAGTGTTTTTATTGCGAATTCAATGGTTTCATTGGGGAGCTTTTGGAGACTGTTGGGTTTTTCAGGTGGGTGATGTTGCATTTTCGGTGCCGGATTCCTTGGTCGTGACGCTTGAGAGAGTTCTTGGAAATGAGACCGTCGGTATGGTTTCTTCTGTTGTAAAACATTTGCTACTTCTTGCTATGGTTGAGTGTTGTTGCTAGTACACTCCCCAGTGTCCACCCCTTAGAACTTTAACGTGGGCTCATGAACGCACACCCACCTTTGGCTAATTTGATTACCGCTAGCAAATATTGTTATCTTTGAGCTTTCCTTTTAGGCTTCCCCTCGAGGTTTTTAAGAAGTTTTTTCTAGGGAGAAGTTTTCACACCCTTATAAAGAATGGTTCATTCTCCCCAACTGATGTGAGATCTCACAATCCATCCCTTTCAGAGCCTAGCGTCCTTATTGGCACTCGTTCTCTTCTCCAATCGATGTGGGACCTTCCAATCCACCTTCCTTTGAAGCCTAGCCAGGTGGCTGGCACACCGTTTCATGTCCACCCCCTTCATGGCATAGTCTCCTCATTGGCACATCGCCTAGTGTCTAGCTCTGATACCATTTGTAACAGTCGAAGCCCACCGCTTGCAGATATTGTCCTCTTTGAACTTTCTCTTTTTCGGTTTCCCCTCAAGGTTTTTAGAACGTGTCTGCTAGGGACAAGTTTGCATGCTCTTATAAAGAATGTTTCATTCTCCCCAACCGTTGTGGGATCTCACAATCCACCCCTTCTAGGCCTAGCGTCCTCACTAGCACTCGTTCCCTTCTCCCGTCGATGTGGGACCCCTCAATCCATCATCCTTCTAAGTCCAGTGTCTTTGCTGGCACACTGTTTCATGTCCACCCTCCTTCGGGATTTAGCCTCCTCGCTGACACATCGCTTGGTGTCTGGCTCTATACCATTTGTAAGGAGAAGCTCGAAAGGAAAAACCCAAAAAGGACAATATATCAACATTGCTTTGGACAATTTTTACTCTTATTTTGGAAGCAGGAAGACAATCTTGCTTGCATAACTTTTATGGCTGTTTGGATCTTCTTGCAGCCGAGTTGTTAACCACCAACAAGTTATCAGAGTTGGCATGCTTAGCTTTGTACTTGATGTATGAAAAGAAACAAGGAAAGAAGTCTTTCTGGTACCCTTACATTAGAGAGCTCGATCGCCAACGTGGGAGGGGCCAACTAGCCATTGAGTCGCCTCTTCTATGGTCGGAAGCTGAACTCGACTACCTCTCAGGAAGTTCGACAAAGGTAACAAGATTGTTATGCAACTTATTGTAAGCGTAGTTCACCTAGTCACTCATTTTGTGTAAGATCCCACATCGGTTGGAGATGAGAATGAAACACTTCTTATAAGGGTGTGTAAACCTCTCCCTAGTAGACGCGTTTTAAAACCATGAGACTGATGGCGATACGTAACAAGCCAAAGCGAACAATATTTGCTAGTGGTGGGCTTGGGCTGTTATAAATGGTATTAGAGCCAGACACCAGATGGTGTGCCAGAGAGGACGCTGGCCCCCAAAGGGGTGGATTGTGAGATCTCACATCAGTTGGAGAGGAGAATGAAACATTCCTTACAAGGGTGTGGAAACCTTTCCCTAGTAGACGTGTTTTAAAACCGTGAGGCCGACAGCAATACGTAACGGGCAAAAACAGACAATATCTGCTAGCGGTGGGCTTGAGCTATCTCAAATGGTATTAGAGCCAGACATTAGGCGGTGTGCCAGTGAGGGCGTTAGGTCCCCAAGTGGGTGGATTGTGAGATCCCACATTGGTTGAAGAAGGGAACGAAACATTCCTTATAAGAGTATGAAAACCTCTCCCTAGTAATGATAGTGATACGTAACGGGCCAAAGCGGACAATATTTGCTAACGGTGGGCTTGGGCTATTACAAAAGGTATTAGAGCCAGACATCGGGCAGTGTGCCAGCGAGGACACTGGTCCCCCAAGGAAGGTGGATTGTGAGATCCCACATCGGTTGGGGAAGGGAACAAAATATTCCTTATAAGGGTGTAGAAACTTCTCCCTAGTAGACGTGTTTTAAAACCGTGAGGCTAATGACAATACGTAACGAGCCAAAACGGACAATATCTGCTAGCGGTGGGCTTGAGTTGGAAAATTCCTACCTAAAATTCGTACTTGTATGGATCAGAAAGAAGTTCTCGAACGGGCGGAAGGAATCAAGAAGGAGTATAATGAGCTTGACACTGTGTGGTTTATGGCTGGCTCTCTGTTTCAGGTAATCCATCAAGTTGTTGAGTATATAATAGATGATGATTTAGACTAATTTTTATTGGGAAATTTGCAGCAATACCCATATGATATTCCAACGGAAGCATTTTCCTTTGAGATTTTCAAACAAGCCTTTGTTGCAGTTCAATCATGTGTGGTGCATTTACAGGTAATTCAAACATGTTTAGTTTCACCATCTCTCCATGTTCTTTTTCGATGTTTTTAAGGTATCCTTTGTTCTTAAGAAGCTTCCAAATTGATCATCTAAAGGCTTATTGAATATAGAATGTAAGTTTGGCTCGGAGATTTGCTTTGGTTCCTCTTGGCCCTCCGTTGTTGGCTTATAGAAGCCATTGCAAGGCAATGCTAACTGCTGTTGATGGTGCTGTGGAACTAGTGGTTGATCAGCCGTACAAGGCTGGGGAATCAATAGCGGTTTGGTAAGTTTGCAACCGTGCTCCTGTGTGATGTAACAGTCCAAGCTCTCCGCTAGCAGATATCGTCATCTTTGGGCTTTACCTTTCGAGCTTCCCTCAAGGTTTTTAAAATGCGTCGGCTAGGGAAAGGTTTTCACACCCTTATAAAGAATGCTTCGTTCCCTCTCCAATTGATGTGTGATCTCACAATCCACCCCCCTTCGAAGCCCAGCGTCCTTGTTGACACTTATTCCTCTCTCCAATTAATGTGGGATCTCGTAATCCACCCCCCTCTGGGGCCCACCGTTCTTGTTGGCACACCGCCTAGTGTCCACCCTCTTTTGGGGCTTAGCGTCCTAATTGGCACACCGTCCAGTGTCCATCCCCCTTCGGGGCTTTACGTCCTCACTGGCACAACGGTGTCCAACCCCTTTCAGGGCTCAAGTCCTTGCTGGCACACCACTCAGTGTCCACCCCTTTCAGGGCTTAGCGTCCTCATTGGCACACCGTTTGATGTCCACTCTCTTTCGGGGATCAGCGTGCTCGCTGGCACACCGCCGGTGTCCACCCCCCTTCAGGGTTTAACGTCCTCACTGGCACACCGCCCGGTGTCTACACTCTTCAGGACTCAGCATTCTCTCTGGCACACCGCCCGAATGCTAACGAGGACGCTGGACCCCAAAGGGGTAGATTGATTGTGAGATCCAACATCAGTTGGGGAGGAGAACGAAACATTCTTTCTATAAGGGTATGGAAACCTCTCCCTAGCAAACAGCGTTTTGAAAACCTTGAAGGAAACCCCAAAGAGGACAATATCTGTAAACGGTGGGCTTAGACTATTACAATTACTATTTTTGTTAATGCTACCTATTCTTAATTCATTTAGAAAGATTTTCATTCTTGTTCAAACTCAAGCACAGGTGCGGGCCACAGCCTAATTCAAAACTACTCCTAAACTATGGATTCGTCGACGAAGATAACCGCTACGATCGCTTAGTAGTCGAGGTAAGCCTTCATGTTTGATTGTAACTCACAATCTTTTGGATCAATATCACTTAACATCCTTGTTCTCTGTGTCAGGCAGCTTTGAACACTGAAGATCCTCAATATCAAGATAAAAGAATGGTTGCTCAAAGAAATGGCAGATTATCAATACAAACCTTTTATGTATGAATTCAAAACACCGACAGAAATGAAGTGTTTAAGCTATTGTGTTTCATAAAATTTCATTTCTGACACAGATTTATGCTGGAAAGGAGAAAGAAGCTGTCTTAGACATGCTTCCTCATCTTAGGCTTGGCTATGTCACTGATCCTTCAGCTATGCTGTCTGTTCTTTCTTCTCAAGGTCCTGTCTGTCGTGTAAGTTTTAAATGTGGCTGTTGGCTTATGAACCAATGTGGGCAATCCACCAATGTTGAAACATTGCTTCTTAGGTGAGCCCTTGCATGGAAAGAGCTGTGTTGGAACAAGTTGCTGGCTATTTCGAGCGACGACTGGCTGGCTACCCGACTACGTTGAGCGACGACGAGTCTCTGGTAATGTTTTCGTTATGAATCCATTGTTCTTCACGTTTGCTTACCCATTTGTTTGATCAGCTGGCCGATGGTGATTTGAACCCGAAAAAGCGAGTTGCTACTCAGCTTGTTAGATTGGAAAAGAAGATTCTTCAGTCATGCTTGGAAGTGACCATTGATTTCATGCATCAGTTGCCGGATCATACTGTTTCTCCATGCCCTGCTCCCTATGAACCCTTGTTGAGATGAGTAAGATCGTCACGAATCGAGCTGCGATGCGGAATCCTCCATCCCGAGGTGAAGCGAAAATCAAGGTTAGTTTGATGAAAACTCGTTCTTCTGAGCTTTTTTTCGTTTAGTATCCGAGTTGGTGGCTGATGGGTCCATGCATAATATGCCCACTGTTAGCAGGTATTATCTGCTTTAGCCGGTTACGCATTGTTGTCAGCTTCATGGTTTTAAAATGTGTTTGCTAGGTATAGGTTTTCATACGCTTATAAGGAATGTTTTGTTCCCTTCTCTAACCGAAGTGGGATCTCACAATCCACCCCCTTGGGAGCTAGTGTCCTTATTGGCACACCGCCCTGTGTCTGGCTATGGTACCATTTGTAACAGCTAAGTCTATTGCTAGCAGATATTGTCTGTTTTGGTCCATTACGATCGTCGTTAGTCTCACAATTTTGAAATGCGTCTATTAGGTAGAGGTTTTCACACACTTGTAAGGAATGTTTTGTTACCTTCTCCGACCGATGTGGGATTTCACAACCCACTCCCTTGGGAGCCAGTGTTCTCTCTCGCACACCACTCGGTGTTTGGCTATGCTACCATTTGTAATAGCCCAAATTCACCGCTAGCAGATATTGTCTGTTTTGGCCTGTTACATGTCGTCATCAGTCCCACGGTTTTAGAACGTGTCTGTTAGAGAGAGGTTTCCACACTCTTATAAGGAATGTTTCGTCGTTTTCTAGGTTTTGATACACCATGTTGTTATTTGGCAGCTTAATCTAAGTAAGCTGCCCACTGCATGGGATGGTTGGTTGTTCTTTCAGAGTGGTCAGGTACTGAAGAACAAAATTTGGAGGTTGGAGGCCATGGATTTGGGGCTTTTCTTGCGGTCTATAACTCACTCTCTCAAATTGCTTCCTGTAAATAACCATATCTACTGATCCATCGCAATTTTGTGATCATACGCTCGAAGAAGTGTTTATCGATGATTAACATGTATGTCTTTTTGGTTCTTGAAGTTTCGAAGTAAATATCGTCATCGAGGAGAATTATTAAAATAGTTCGTGGGTTTCTTTGATCATTCGTTGAATGATAGTAGGTTGACTTTACAGTTGAGTTGTTGACTTTACTTGACTGATCTGACCTTAACGGTTGACTATACCCTTCCTGATCGCTAGAAAATCTAGCTAGACATCACCGGTGATATTCTACCCGATTCGAGAGGAGAACGAAATATTTTTTATAAGAGTGTGAAATCCTTTTTCTAATCGATGCATTTTAAAATAAGTCTGAATGAGAACAATATCTGCTAGCAATAAACTTGAGCTGTTACACCAACACAGTTAGCAGTGATCATTGTCTTGGGCTATTACATCGTTGTTAGATATCAGATTATTTATGAGAAAATGAAAAATTGAAAAATATTTAAAAAAAACTATTTAAATAATTTTTAAAACTTAGTTTGAAAAAATATGTAATAAATAAATAAGTTGGTCGTTGAGGGCTTTTTATTGACACGTCAGATTTTTCAGTTCCGTATTGAATTTCCATTTGTTTTTAAACCAATCAAATTCCCCCGTCGCCTACTTTTCTCACCGGCTGGCAGAAGTTAAAAAACCCTCCTTCCCAACAGTAATCAACATCCAACGGTCACGATCACCCAATTCACCTGGCGGCTTCAATCTTAGCCGTCCAATTCCCTAGATACCGTGTGGAAATCGTGGGCTTTGCGTCTTAGCATAGTAGACTAGAGAGCGAGTGCTCTCTCTCTCTCTAGGTCTTCGACGCGGTTTTCTCTTCTTTTCTTTTCTTCTCTTCGATCTTCGATTGTCGTTGTTTTGCTGCAAGTTTTCAGGGATTCGAGGTTTGGACGTTCTGTTTACACTCTCTGCTCGTGTTTGAAGTTCGATTTGAAGTTGTTGGATTCAGTGGTGGTTTCTGATCTACGCTTCTGAATTGGGGTTTTCTCGGTTCTTCAGTTGTTGGGGGGTTGTTCTTGCGATTCAGACAGTGTGAGAGGTTTTGTTGTGTGGAGCTATTGGACTAGGAAGCTTGTGAGGCTACTGGTAAATCATCTAGGGTTCTTTTTTTGAATTGGCCGTTTGTATATGGTCAAATCTTGGAGGGGTTTTGTTGTACTTGGTTAATTTGTAAAGACAAGAGTATTGGCTTTGGATCTACTTGCTTTCTCTTGGCGTAATTTATTTGTACTATTGACTTATAATAGTTTTAAAATTGTGTTTTTCTGGCTTGATTTTCTTTTATGATTTTTCTTATGTTAATATTGTCTTTTGTGGTTTTAATCGTGAGTTAATGAACGAAAGTGTTGATATTGAGTTCAGCTGAGTGGGAAGGAATTTTCGATCTTGGTGTTTTCACTTTCTTCAGGGTTTAGCCTGAATGGTTTGGCGTGTTTGCAGTGGAGGTGCATGATCACGCTCGTGTTCAGTTAGTCTGCATTCTTGAAGAACCAGAATTGCTCCAAGGCTCTACCGAAGCAGCTCGTGGTTCATATAAATGGATATAAGGACGGAAAAGAATATTAGATACCCGGAAAGATACTATGGTAGTAGTTCCTTTTGCACTGCTGGTGAATCAGAGGGCTCTGGAAGCTCGGGAAGAATTGATCCTGAGATTGCTGTTTCGGAAGTTTCTAGCACGCCGATGAGAAGATGTATGAGTTTTAATTCTGATAGGCATGAAGGGTTGCGAGTCCGAACCCAAGTTCTTCCCTTGACAAGCCTGTTGCAATCCGAGAGGAAGGACTTGGTTTACAGGTTGAGAAATGAACTGGAACAGATTCAGACCCTCAGAAAGAAAGTAGAATTGCTTAGAACAAATAGTTTTACAGTCTCATCTTCGAGTGATATTCTTAGTTGTAGCAATGTACACGATGGGCCATCAGCTGAACACATTAAAAATACCTCAAATTTGTCTTCTGGGCAACGAAAGAAATCTAATGTTCCAAGCCATAAGAAAGGGCAAGGATGCAGTCGGGTTGCTTCGGGTAAAGTTGGGTCTACCGTGCAAGCATCTGTTTCCAACACCACAACCGCTACTTCAGCGATTTTGATGAAACAGTGTGAACAACTTTTGAAAAGAGTAATGTCACACCAGTATGGCTGGGTATTTAACACTCCTGTTGATGTGGTGAAGCTAAATCTCCCTGATTATTTCACAATTATCAAGCACCCAATGGATTTGGGAACTGTGAAAACTAAGTTATCTTCTGGAGCATACTCAAGTCCACTGGATTTTCTTGCTGATGTGAGGCTCACTTTCAACAATGCAATGACATACAACCCTCCTGGCAATGATGTGCACATCATGGCTGATGTTCTTAACTCATTTTTTGATATGAGATGGAAAGCTATTGAGAAAAAACTTCCAAAAATGGATGGTCATGCATTGCCAACTAAATCTAGACCTCGAGAAGATATTGAGACTGTTAAGAACGTACCTCCAAAAAAGATGAAAGTTGCTTCTAGGCCCCACGAAATTACACCCATACCCGCCAAGCGTGTAATGACAGACGAAGAAAAGCTAATAATAGGTATCGAAGCTAAAAGATCCATATGGTACTCGTGTTGATAAATGAGTGGAATATCATCATTAATGTGCAACCTTTTTGTTGTGACCTATTCATTGACAATCTCGTTTATTATCAGCAGATTCAGACTCTTCTAGTTCTGAAAATGAATCCGAGCGTGATAAAGCTCCAATTCATGTGCACGAGCAGGTATTTTATTGATTATTGTTTTAGCCTCAAATGGATGGCTTCTAGAAAATTTGCATTCGGGCTTTTGCTTGTATTGTTAAATGGATGTCAGAGGTGGTTGATTTTTCTCTTTGGACTATCGACAGGTTCCAGAAACAATTGGCTCCACAGGTCTAGTAATTGAAACGGCAACCTCGGGCGGACCATTTGAAAGGAATCGTGGGTGTTCTTATCCTTCCTTCATCTTTCCTCATAAAGAAATTGGATTATGCGATACCCATCTTTATCTTCATGAATTGAATAACTCTTTGCTGGCTGAGCAAATATTAAATGTGTTCATGCTGTGTTTTTGTACTAGATATATTTTAGCATCGTGTTTGGTTCATGCCTTTTTAAGTTCTGATTGAATCCCCTCCTGACAAATTTGTACTTGACCTTTCTCTTGTTTGGATTATTCAACAAATTTGTGTTCTTTAAACGTTATCCGGTAAAAAGAAGCATGCCGGTATTAGCGTGCCTCTATTGATTCATGTTGTGTGTGTTTTATAATTTAAATCTTAATCCTTGTCTCTATTGATTCATGTTCTTGATACCATTCTTCTGAAATTTTGTTTTATATTGTTATTGAAGCATTTGCTTTGCAACTTATGCTATTTAAATGACTTCTCTCAGAATCTGAAGGTGGCTATGAACAACTTGAGCAGACTTCCGGCAAGCCCAGTTCTACCGAGTCAGACTGCAATCAGGATGGTGAGTAGAAGTGTGGCATGCCTATCATACTCCAAGAGACGAGAATGACCCCTGTTTTGAGTACGTTCCTGTTAATTCTTTTATCAACATTACAGGTAACTACGCTGCATCTGAGAAGCCGGTCTCCCCCGAGCGGCTTTTTCGGGCTGCTCTGCTTAAAAACCGATTTGTTGACACAATTTTAAGAGCTAAAGAAAAGACGATGGCACAGGTTGGTTCAAAACATGGCCTACTTGTTTAACATCTTACTACTTTTTATGGATTTTGCAATGAGAGATTGCGAGTTTTGATCTGGATGGTGTGCGTTTTGATCTGGTCCGAGATCAGGGCGACAATGGCGATCCTGAGAAGTTGAGACAGGAGAGGGAGGAGCTGGAGCAGGAGCAAAGGAAAGGTAGTTAGTTGAACAGACTCGTCAATTTGATTGTGACTTTGTTCCAGTGGTTGCGATCAGTGTGTGTTATATTAACACTCTTTGTACGTGAAACTTAGAAAAAGCACGACTACTAGCAGAAGCAAAGGCTGCACGCGATGCACAAAGACAAGCCGAAGCCGAAGCTGCAGCTGAAGCTAAACGAAAGAGGGAACTCGATAGAGAAGCAGCACGACAGGCATTGCTCCAGGTAAGTTACACAATCAATCCAAGTTCAGATCAGTAGTCACCCGAAACTCCATAGTTTTTACTCGTTTACTCGAATATAATACCAGATTGAGAAAACCGTCACAATAGACGAGAACTCCCAATTCCTGGAAGACTTGGAGATGCTTAGAACCACTCATACCGAACCCCTGCCGAGCTCGGTGGATGAGACAATCCCCGATCACTCGCAAGACGGTCTGGGCAGTTTCAAATTTGTAGGGAGCAATCCATTAGAACAACTCGGGTTATTCATTAAAGCAGACGAAGAGGACGAGGAAAACGAGCCAAATTATATCTCGAACTCTATAAAAGATGTAGAAGAAGGTGAAATTGATTAGAGGATAAAATAGTGTGATGTTGAATTCAATGGTAGAATTGAATAATCAATCCCTTTTGACTGAAGACAGTAACTGGTGTGTGACTCCTAGTCCTGATCCTTGGTTATATTTATTTAGACGAAAGTAGGATCGAAGATAGGGGAGGATGTTCATATGACCAGATATCCCGACCAACCAATCCATATTATCCAATCCAAATCATAAAAGGTTATATTGGGGCTGACCGGTGGGTTCGGGATTCTGATTTTCTGGGGGGTCGTGATTGATAATAGTTTAGTTTGCGAAGGTGTTCCCCTTTTTTCATTAAGTCTCAAAAAACTAATTAATTAATTCAAATAGTTTCTCCTCTTGAATTTAGGGTTTTTAGTAAAGTATTTAGTTATGAAAATTAAAAAACTAAATAAATATTAAATCCAAATTTTATTAATCAAAAATACATTTTTTTGTAATATTTATTTATCTACCCTCGTGCTTTGTGAGATAGTATTATTTTCTCGAGCATATAGCTTGATTAGTGAAATGACATTTTAGACCCTAAACCCTAACAAAGTGGACTTATAGGTCGGTTGGGAACTAAGTAAAATAATTTTCCTTTTTTATTTTCCTAATATAATTTCCTTTTTTTTTAATAATTATCTTTATTATTTTGGGAAATAAAGTTTACTTTATTTATCACTAAATCCATCTTTTTTCTTTCTTTTTCTTTTCTTTTCTTTCTTTTTTTTATTCTTTTTTTGCCTTATCCAAGTCTCAAAGTATTAGAGATTTTTTTTTTTTTAAGGGTCAAAATTTAGTCTTTATATTTTCCATAAATCTCAAATTTAGTCTTTATTGTTATTTTTTTAAAAAATAATTAATATGTATTAGCATTTTGTTTATACAATTTTTAAATATATAATTGTATGAAATAAAATTTAATATTATTTAATCAATTTTAATAAAAATTAAATTTGGATGACTAAATTTAAAATTTATTAAAAATATGAAGATTTTTTTTTTTTCTTTTTTACATAAATCATAAATACGGAAAACTTTTCAGTGGCTGTCTATTTGATTCTCCCAAAAAAGGGGGCAAAAATGTTTGGATCTTCGTGTTTATTTATTGTTGGGTTTCAATCTCTCCGATCCAAATTCCCATCTCGCTTTTTCGATTTTGATTTTCCCCAAAAGCCGATCCCTTCCCTCCCTCCCTTTTCAATTTTCCCGATCACCGGATTGCTTCCGCCTCCGATCCCGATCACCGGCCGGAACGGGTTTCAATGGAAACCCATCTCAACCCTCTGCCTTTCTTCTTCTCGATCTTCTTTACGATCTATATCATTGCTTATTTCCTATTGTTTCGTAATTGGAGCCCTAAGATCCGGCCGGAAGCTGCGAGTTGCGCGATCTCCTTCGCTCATGGCACCCCCGCCGTGATCTTAGCCTCCAAAGCTATTCTCGCCGACGCCGCTCGCGGTTTTGCCTCATCCAATACCGATTTTCAAAACTCTGTCCTCGATTACAGCATCGCCTACTTTCTCATGGATCTGTTGCACTATCTCATCTTCTTCCCTGCAGATTTGCTCTTCATTGCGCATCATTTGGTCACTCTCTTTGTCTTCGTCACTTGCCGTTACCTCGTCTCTTATGGCGCTTATGCGATTCTTGTCCTTCTCATTCTCGCTGAGGTCACTAGCTTTTGCCAGAACGCTTGGACGCTCGCTAGAGCCAGAAGAGCTGATGTTGAGTTCGCTGATAGAATTTACAATCTTCTATCTCCTCCATTTTATATGCTATATTCGATCGTCAGGGGATTTGTTGGGCCTTACTTCCTTTACAAAATGGGTGAGTTCTTCTTCAATGGAGGAGCTGAGACTGTGATTCCTAAATGGGTTTGGATGTCTTGGATTTTTGTTGTTGCTGCTGCCATTTCTGTGAGTATTTTGTGGATTACAAATCTCTGGATTGAATTATACAGAGAAAGAAGCAGCAAATTAGAGAAGAAGAAGGCAAGGTAGGAGAAAGCAATTTGGCTTTCTTCACTTTCTTCTTTTTCCTTACATTAGTTAGATTTTCTTATGATTAACAACAGGGAAAATGATATCAAAATTGGTGTTTCTTTCAACCCACGTCTGAAGAACAGGGGGAGGAGGAGGTAGGAACCAATTGAGTTCTATTTGTTTCTGTTAGATTCATTGATCATTCACACAACAAAAAAGGGTGTCAAATTCAGAGAAGTTTTGTGGTTTTTGTTTAATCCCTCATTTGGATATATGATCTTTGTTCTTCTTCAATGACTTATTATTGTTCTTTCCATGTAGCTTACACACACACATATATATATATATATACACACGCTGTGAATTCCTGTGTTACTTCAGTATGATATGATTCAGACACATTTTGTTTAATGATTTGTGAATTCTGATTGCCCTTTTGAGCTATAGAAATAGGCAAGAAATGGCCAAAAAAGTGACAAAATGGAGTGTTCTGTGGACTGTAGAGGGTTCTCATGCCTGTCTGTTACTTTGTGTCTGATAAACAAGAAGGAAATGAATGCAAGTAAATAGAAGCAAAGCTTTTATATTGCGATTGTGTATGAAGAGTAAAAGAATTGCCAGTGTAAATCCCTCGCCAAGACAGTTTGAACGCTAAGATTCTCTCTAATCTTCAGCTAAAAGTGACACTTTTATCACTCTACAAACATACTTCTAGACATTATTATCATCTGCTTCATTCTGTATCAATTGATGGGTAATTTATGAGTAGAAATGGTAGTTCTTGGCTTGAAGTATGATATTTCTTAGTCCTCCAATGGGTGATATTACTGTAAGAAGCACTCCGAGGACGATGCATATCTGAAACCGAACATGAACGAAGAATGTTAGCTTCACTTGAATTTGAAACGATTTATGTAGAGAATCTGATCAAATGAAAGCAGTGTCTAAGAAGAACTTTACCCAGTTAGTCCACCAAGATAAGCCAAACTTTTTGGGTTTGTATATGACAAGCCATATGACACAGGGAAGCTGAGAAGGCAAAATGAAATGAGAAGGATCAGCAGGCAAGTATTGAACTTCAAGAAAAATTCTTTAGGTGGTCTTGTTTTTCATGATCTTGGACTGAGATATTGAGTTAGAAGCTGTAGCTTACAAAAAATGTTGTAGGGGCAAAGGCGAATCCTCCAAAGAATCCAAGTAGCCCACCAAAGAAAGGGAAGGTAATTCCTATGAACATTGTAAGTCCTGCAAGGATAAAATGATTAGAAGTAGCTCTATTCAAATTGAGCGAGTTATAAGTTGAATGAGTACATTGGTTGCTTACCGACATAAACGTTACGAGCAACAAATCGAAGCATAAAACTAGGCTTGAAATGTAGTTTCTTCACCAATAAAGTTTCTATCATGTCGAACACTGGCATTGCGTATATCTGCAGTCATATGAACAATTATGTTTCGTATGATTCGTCGTACAACTAGCCCTACAACTAGCACTTTGATCCGTTCTTACAGATTGTAGAAGATACTAAGATTTTGACATCGTTTGAGAAGTTTACCTGGTAACTTCCTATAACATGGATGACAACAAACATGTTAGCCATGGCAATAAGCCATGCAGGTTTCTCTAGTGATAGCAGAATGTTGTCTTTGACAGTATTTCCAAACGTCCAGTATCCGACCAAAGCAACAGGGAAGTAGCACAGAGCGACGATTATATATGCAACGACGACTCCTTTCCACATGGCTTTTTTCGAGGGCTTCTCCGGTGTAGACGGGATTGTTGCTTGGATTTCCAGCACGACGTTGTGGCCTGCATATGCAAAAGCCACATCTCCAAGAGCATTCAAAAAGTTAAAAACTGTCCCTGATGTAGTGGTAGCTTTGTATCCATACTGCACATCTGGTTGAACACCCTTAGCAACAGAAGTTGTCCAAGCAATCGTTGAATATCTGCAAATCAATCAACAATTCAAGGTCAGTTTCTGCTATATATCTTGTATAGCTTTCACATATAGCAAGCAGTGAGCATATCATACGTCAAGGACATAACAGCTGCAGCCAATGAGACGCCAGAGATGGAGTTGAAGTTGGGGAGGTGGGAGATTACGAAATGAATCGAGGCGAAGATCATGATAAAGTAAGTTAATCTGATATTCTTGCAGCTCGGGCACACGATGTCGTGGAACTTTTTCAGTGAATGCCCGCCGGTGACCATATAAACTATGTTGGTACCAACTTCAACAATCAATTGCTGAGGCACCACTATGTAAAGGCCTAATTTCTCACCAAATGCATGTTGACCGAGCTCATGGTACCTATCAAATCTCTTCCCGGGAACCATTTCATGCATCTCCACCATTTGCCATAATGTGTATAAAGTGACGATCCATGACAATACCAACACAGCCACACCAGGACCCCTGCAGGTTCAAATTGGTTAGATCGATGTCGATCAGAGTTCAACTTGATATGAACTTGTTTTCCAAAACCGAACTCATTACCATCCAAGGTTTGACATGGCATATGGAAGACTAAGGACACCAGCACCAACCATGGCGGTGACATTGTGGAAGGTAGAATACCACCATTTTGCATTCCTTGACGAAGTAATTGGAAGCCACTCATCTATTTTCTTTTGTTCCTTCGTCTTTTCGACTCCCTATCAATCAACAAAAAAGGGAAAAACATCTCAATGGCAGGCATAAATAACAGCAAGCAATCAAAAAGTAATATTATTATAATCTTAGGGGATCGAGTTTAACTAAAGTAATGATTAAACCATGATATGGGTTACTTTTTTATCTCCATGTACTATTGAAGTGGATATCAAAAAGGTTCTTTTGAGTGTTTTATGATCCAAATTTGACAAGCATATCGTGTGAGATTCTATATTGGTTGGATAGAGGAACGAAACATCTCTTATAAATGTGTGGAAACCTCTCTAGCATACGTTTTTAAAATGGTGAGGTTGATGACTATACGTAACGTGCTAAAGAAGACAATATAGCAGTGGACTTTCTTGACAGTTGTTACATATCGCTTGAGAATTGGACCGACAGCGATTTATCCAAGTCTTTAAGGTCAATATTGTTAACTCATCCCTTTATT